ACCCATCCGCTCAAAAGTTTATAGCGGAAAGTGACAGTATCATGAGATATTGTGCAAAATTCAGTAATGCACCAATCCAAGACCACACTGAATCATATCTTATGATAAAAGACAAATCACTAGATGATTGTTGGGCACGGCTTCAGTCCGCCTATGATTTGGTTTTTTCAAAGCCAGATGACAGCCTACCCGAAAACTTTAAGAATTCGGTAGAAGGCAAGTACTTCACTTGCCTTGAATTATATGAGGTGACCAAAGCTAAAATTGCCGATCAACTGTCGTTGATTAGAGCAATCGCCGCACCGAGTCCACCACCTCGCGTGGAACACACCTCAGCAGAGGCAAACGTTTTCCTCCAAGTCCCACCTTGTGACACGGAGACATTTTACGGCGGTTACGAAGAATGGCCCGCTTTTCGTGACATGTTCACAGCGGTGTACATCAACCACCCGAAGCTCTCCCGTACTCAAAAATTGTATCACCTCCGATACAAAACCCAAGGTAAAGCTGGCTCCATCGTCAAGCAATATCCGCTCAGCGACGATAACTTCGAGCTGGCCTGGGATGCTTTACGGTCACGATACGAAAACAAACGTATCCTGGTTGTCAACCAAATTAAAATTTTGATGACTTTGCCGACTATTCAATCCGAGAATAGCGAGCAACTTCAAATTACCAACTGTCTGTCAGTTCTTAATTCTCAAGACGTCCAGACAGACAGTTGGGATCCCATATTGGTGTACATATGCTCATCCAAATTGCCCGAAACCACACTGTCACTTCGGGAACAATCTCTCTCTTCTCGAAGAGATTTACCCTCATGGTCACAAATGGACGATTTTGTTACTTCAAGATACGAAGTAGTCGAAAGACTTAACCGGCTTCATCCAAGCCAAAATAAACAAAAACCAGTCGCTCATCAAAATTCTGCGCAAAACAGGTTCTTTAACAGGACTCAAACCTTTGTGGCAGAACCTAAGAGGGAACCAACTTGCTCTTACTGCAAGTCCCCTCATCCCATTAGAGTCTGCCCACAATTTAAGCGAATTTCGGTACCAAACCGAGTACAATTCGCAAACCAAACCAAGCTGTGCAAAAACTGCCTTGGTAATACCCATAGCACTAATGAGTGTCCGAGCAAGTGGTCATGTACACATTGCATCACTCCCTGCTGCACACGAATCCCAAACCACAATCTCGACACTCCAGTGCGCGAGCGAATGAAACCGCCGCACAACACACTACTGCCCAGTCGACACCTCCCGCTCGACAAGCGCAGTCAAGCTCCGATTCCAGCGAGCAACCGTGCTGTTCCAAACAAGCACAAATACAATCATTGCATACCGACAATGATAGCAAAATTCTCCTTCCAACTGCCATGGTCGCAGTTGAACACGAGGGGGAATTGTTTTAACTTAGAGCCTTGATTGATCAAGGCTCACAAAGAACTTTCATTTCCTCGAAAGTTCAAACCGATTGAAACTACCATTCGAACATTCCATGTTCGAAATTTCCGGCATGGGTGGGCATGTAGTACAAAGCTCCTCAAAGCTTTGTCCACTCACATTGGTTGCACCCAAATCCATGCAACGGATAAACACACAGGCTATCGTGTTACCTCAGCTCACGAGGCACATGCCTACGTTCACCATTAGCCGTGAAAACTGGCAGCGATTCAAGGTCCTTGAACTTGCTGACCCAAGCTGTCACTTACCAGCTCAAACTGATATGGTAATCGGCAGCGATATACTTCCACAAATCCGGCTGGAAGGTATAAAAAAGATTTGCGACACTATACTTGTGCAAAAAACAATATTTGGCTGGATTCTCAGTGGTCCAATAACCGAAAATGTGGTGTCATTCTCGACACAAGTAGAAGAGTGCTCGAATACAACTCTGAGCCTTCAGCTTAGAAAGTTTTGGGAAGAGGAGGAGATTCCACAACCTCCACAAATTTCCCCTGAAGATCAGGCATGTGAAAAT